CGCGCCACATCAAGCCCTAGCACCGCTGCCATCACCGCCACTACTGTCGCCGAGCGCCGCCTTCCGTGTCATCTTCATCCGCATAAGACCCCTGGTGAGTTTGCCTCTCCGTTCTCTCCCTTCCCGTGACTTTTCCATGGCCAATGATGCCCGGAGTCGTCGGATTGACGAACTCCGGTGAGGTCTCACCGTTATTTATGGAGCACCACCGCGCACAATGTCGTCGGCCAATTGCGCGCCTCTATTTCCCCTCCCGATCTAATCTGCTACGTCCGTTTGTGATCTGACGATGGAAATCAACCCGTACCGGTTCGGTCGGCCGTTTTGCAAAAGAACCCCTGAAGTTTTCTATGTGTTAACCTGCTGTCCCTGCATTTTTTCTAAAGAACCCCTATCTTCTTCTTTATCATGCCCGCCGTCCCTAGTTCAGTTTAAAATCCGATTTTATTAATTTAAATTCTAAAATCAAGTTCTAGTTATTTACAGAAGTGCCACTGATCTTGTTTTACTCATAAAATCTTCGTTATAACTCCGATTTGGTCCATTCAAGTTACGTTAGATTCGTAATTGCGTAATCTACATGTTTATACAACTGTTAAGTATGTTTTCAACTTTTAAAATTTGAGGTTAGATTTAATCTATTATTTTAATAAAGGAAATCTTGTTTAATTCATAACTTTCTCGTTTTAGCTCCGATTTTCGTGATCTTCACGTCTGTGTGTGTTCATAGCGAGACGTTGATTCGTTTTATAAACTTTTCATCTTAATTTTATGCTGTTGGTGTACTGTTCTAATCTATACTCACTGTTTGCTATGCATGTTTGCTTCTGGATGCTTGTATGTTGCTGTGATTATCAAGTATAGATAGTGAGCAATTCGTGGATGATTAGGAGTACTACTTTGACGAGCAGGATCAGCAGGAACACTTTGTTCAAGGCAAGTATAGCATGAGATCATTCTTGTTTCCTATCAATTTTAATATATTTAATTCATATTGCGTGTGTCATCTTGATAGGGATTCTCTAGAATTAAACTTATACCTTGTCTCCTATGGGATATGCATTGGGTAGCTTTGCTAGTGCTCAATTAAACCATGATCTTGTAACTTAACTAATGGTATATGCAATAAACATTAAAATATGACTTTTTAGCAACTTAAAAACAGGGGACTGGAGTGTTTAGCTACTTTCTAAATGCTTCATATTCCTCTCCCTAAGGACTTATCTGTAAGTGATTATCCAGGACTTACAGTACAACTGTAAGTGCCACATGGCTCTGGCTTTAGCTCAGTATGAGGACATTTTCAAGCTTGTTAGAGGTTACCTTTATGGCATAAGAATGGCTTGCCGAATCAGGTATAGGACAGTCTCTACTCCTATATTTATAGCTGTGATGGAATTGTGCCATTCGATATGGGGTTCCTATATCTATTTGCCGAGTGAATCTAATGACCCTAACTTGTTGGACGAACCTTTAAAAGGCTTCATAGTGAACCCTACCTGCTCACCTTGAAAGTGTTTTGGGAGTAATTAACCTAGGTATATGGGTATCATGACTCACAGTGAAAGTGTACAACCTCTGTAGAATGTAAAACTGGTATATCAGCCGTGCTCACGGTCACGAGCGGCCTTAGAACCCTTATAGAATAGATGATCACTAAGAATTATCCGTTTATGCTATTTATTATTCATGTTTACATTGATCATGTGTTTACTATGGGATTAAAACAACTTGTTGCTACTCTTATGCTCAAATTGTGACAATTAAAAGCAAATTGTTGTTAAAGCTGTGTCAAGCCTTTTGAGCCTCATGAACCCCATGTTACACTGGTTGAGTACGACACGTACTTATGCTAGTTTATTTTTATTATTTGGATAAAAATCTTGAATAGGTAACAGATGGCTATGATAATGACGACTTTCCTGAGAATTACTCGACTTGTGGTCAACCAGTTGATGTCCCTGTGATATGGAGCTTCCACGAGAGGTTTTTCTTTATACTTCCGCTACATTTATGAGAAGACTCTATCTTATTATACGTGATGTAATAAACACTTGTGATGATACTATCTATAATTTGTCGACTTATGTGTATGACTGATCTCTGAACGCATATAAGATTATGCATCCCATTTTAGCGTTAAAATCGGATGTGACAAGATCTACAATGATAATTTAGGAGAAACAAAAAAATAGATTTTTAATGCTGTATAATGCTATATTTTTTTGAGCAAATATATAATGCTATATAAGAACCGTGCCAAACGGTGACGAGATCACAAACCGGTTTGCATTTTGTTGGGCCATAAAACCCAGGACGACCCACCCTCACACTGCCACCAGAGTCCAAAGCCGCCTTAGTGCTGGTGCGGCGGCGCTGTCTCCCCACAAGGAGCTATTTGGTGAGAGACCATTATGGTAAGTGGGCTTCGACGGAATGCCATCCCGCAATGGGGCTTCGCCAGAATGCCATTATTAAGTGCGACACAACCGTTAGAATGCCATCCGAGGGAATTTAGAGCATTTTATTCCCCTTCTACCCCTCCCTTCTCTCTTCTCCTTTCACGGTCGCGATTGGGACGGACGGAACGGGAGCCACGAACGGATCGAGCTCTCGGGCTCTTCTCCTCCGTCGCCGAGGTACCCCACGGCCGCCCGCTCAATCCGCCTTCCCACGTCCGGCCAATCCCCCGCAACCACGCGCTCCCCCACGCCCGCCCGCGCTCCGCGAGCTCCCCCACGCCTTTAGATGCCTGACAAGTGGAAGGAGGGCGCCAGCAACACCAACGAGAGCGGCGGCCACAAGATCAACGAAAACAAGCTCCTCTCCAAGAAGAACAGGTCAGCTCTCCCCTCATCCTCCCTTCCCCTGCCCCTGTCGAGCATTCTCCCCTACTACTAGTAGTTCTTTGCGGTCAGGGTTGGGCTGACATCACGCGCGAATAGCTGATGCCTGTTGCTTGGGCTCCCAATTTCGTTTTCTGGGATACCTTCAACAGATCAGGGTAGGAGCTTTGGTTTTCTTTAATAAAGAGGCAAATCACCAGAGTTAATGGCTCTACTAGTCATGAAGATAGTATACAGTAAGTCAGTAACCAATCAATCAAACAAATTGTTTGCTGGTCCATCGACAGGCTGGTAGACTTGATTTCTTGAATTTTGAGCCACCTAAATCATTTAATTTTAGAATATTGTGTTAGCCCTCATTTTTTTCCCTTAAAGCCTTCAACTGAATCAGACTGATAGTATGTCGGTTGTACAAGAGTACAAGCTCTTGTTCTTGACAGTTTGGTACCACGATGGTGGTAGCATGTAGCCTAATGCCCCCTCAAAGTTCCCCCAAAAAAAAAGTTCCAAAAAAAGCCCCCTCAAAGTTTATCTCTCTTCAATGCAGGGCCGTAGTAAGGATGGCCTCCTTAGTTCTTAACTGAATAGATAGTGAATTATTTGTTGCAAGTGTCACAGATCTGGAAGACAACAAGGCACATGTTCCACAAGGATTTCTTTCTATAAATGATAAACTTTGGTCTTATCGGAGAAACTGTCATGCCAACTGTTGTCTCGGTTAACATAGGAATATGAAGAAAGCACCTTCCAAATTAATGAATGTTTCATTACTAGTTGTGGGAATACACAGGGGAGATAGAAAAGGTGAGAAGGAATATGAGTTCTGATGTTGTAAGGTACGGAAACAGGTGCTAGCTAGGGTTTCATATGGATATGGGGTGGTAGGGGATAAGGATTTCTAGTTTTTATTTAGGAATCTTTAATCAAAATTCATATTTATTTGATCCTTATGTTCAAGCAAGGTGCTCTTGAATTTCCATGGAAATATCATGTGTCACCAGTGTGTGGCTGATATCCTGTTTGTTTGGTCAGGAGTCAAGATCTGTTCCTTCTAAATATGTTGCTTAAAATTTTAACTGAGTTTTCTGTATCTACGGATTCTTTAGCCTCATTGGATATTTTCCAGAACAAGCTATATGTTTTTGTTGTCTCTATTGAAATCACAGTATGTTCTTTTTTGTAACTTAATATTCAAATCACATATGTTGTCCATTGAAGGTAATATTGTGATTGTGGTCTAATTCTACACACTTCTGCTTAATCACAGGTGGACTCCATATGGAAACACCAAATGTATAATCTGCAAGCAACAGGTGCACCAGGACGCAAAATATTGCCACACCTGTGCTTACTCGAAAGGTAAGAAACACACTAGAAAGGGAACATGGTAAATGAATTTTAAGTGCATTGACACATTCGAAGTATCACTATCATATAGTTCATGACTTAACAAAATGCTTCTGAAATTAGTTAATTCCTTATTCTGATCATAATATTGATTTTTCCCAGGAGTGTGCGCAATGTGTGGGAAGCAAGTGTTGGACACGAAGCTCTACAAGCAAAGCAACGTGTGATCATATAGCTGTACTATATTACTAATAACTTGTATGAAAACTTGTACGCTCAATACAATCGAGCTGTCGACAATAGTTGTGTTAACAAAGTATGTACTTGACTAACAATTCTGGAACATTAAATGTCTCCAAAATCAAAGCTCCAGTGACTTTATGCGAGCGAGTTTGTGTGTTGCATCACAAAGAATCTGGTGTGGCTATTGCAACTAAAAGTGACACATTTTGTGTTTTGACATGGCAACTGTATCTAGCATAAATTTCATTTTAGAATCAGAATTCCTATGGCCTCCATGACAGCAGTTTCTGAAGGGTACCTCGGCGACGGAGGAGAAGAGCCCGAGAGCTCGATCCGTTCGTGGCTCCCGTTCCGTCCGTCCCAATCGTGACCGTGAAAGGAAAAGAGAGAAGGGAGGGGTAGAAGGGGAATAAAAAGCTCCAAATTCTCTCGAATGACGTTCTAGCGGTTGCGTCACACTTGATAATAGTATCCTGATGAAGTCCTGTTGCGGAATGACATTCTATCGAAGCCCACTTCTCTCGCATAGCGCCCCCCCCCAGGCACCGGCCGCCGCCCGCGGAGATGGAGCTGCTGTGTCCCAGTGCCAAGAGGAGGAGATCCGAGGACCTCGCAGCTGGTGAGCCCCCGCCACGGGCGACGGAAGCCACGGAGGCGGCCAATCTCGGACCTACAACCCACAGCAAGGAACCGCCGCCGCCGCCTGATGCTGGCGGCGGCGGTGACGTCGACCGCATCAGCGGTCTCCCCGACGCCGTCCTCGGTGAGATAGTTTCGCTTCTCTCCACCAAGGAAGCCGGTCGCACCCAAATCCTCGCTTCCCGGTGGCGCCACGTTTGGCTCGCCTCCCCTCTCGTCATCGACGGCAGAGACCTCTGGACCAAGCCCAAGATATTTACCGCCGCCAACGAGGCCCTCGCCAGCGCGGTCTCCAAAATCCTCTCCGCCCACCCGGGCCCCGGCCGCCGCTTCTGCGTCCCGCCGCACTATCTCCACGACCGTCCCGCCACCGTGGACGCCTGGCTCAGCTCCCCGGCGCTTCACAACCTCCAGGAGCTTGATTTCTGGGAAGGGAAACATATGGTACATAGGTATGGTCGCCCGTATCCGTTGGCACCACCACCTGCCTCTACTTTCCGGTTCTCGGCTACCCTCCGAGTTTCTACCTTGAGCAAATGCGAGCTCCCGGATAGCTCAGTGGAAGGGATTCACTTTCCCCACCTTAAGCAGCTCGGCCTTGAAAATGTCAGCTTCTCCGAGGGCTCACTGCATACGATGATTTCCAGCTGCCCTGTCCTGGAGTGTTTGCTGCTTAACGGCATCTTTGGGGTTGGCTGTCTCCGGATTAGTTCCAATACCCTTAGAAGCATCGGTGTCGGCACTGATTTTGATTGTTATAGGGACAATCTCCATAGGGACAATCTCCAGTTATTAGAGGAAGTCATAATTGATGCCCCTTGTCTTGAAAGATCTCTCTATCTTGGTTCATTCAAGCCAACCAATTTCATTATAATCTCTTCACCTAAACTGGAGACCTTAGGCTGTCTTAATAATGATTGGTTTGAACGTACCAGGCTCGTGTTTGGCACCATAATTATTCAGGTAGTCATGGCACTCTATTTTCTTCCCATGAAAAGTCTGCTGAGTTTTGTTTTCTGTTACAGAGATTTTCATATCATCAGCATTTGCACATGGTTTGATGTTTTGTTCAATGCTTGATTCAGGGATTAAAAGTTGTAAGCTTGACAACAACATTGAACAGTGTCAAGACTCTAGCTGTCGCATCACATAATATGAATCTCGATACGGTTATTGAGTTGATGAAATGCTTTCCATGTCTGGAGAACTTGTACATAAAGGTAGTTCTTCAGCTACAGTTTATGGATCACAATGTTCTTATATTCTTTTTCTTGACTTGGTGTTAATCCTTGTACCAATGTGGTTTGAGTTTTCCCATTTTAATCTGTTTTTCTCTTCAGTCTTGTATTACAGGAGAAATGAATCGGTGGCGTCATAAACATAGGGATTTCATTAAAAGCTGTGATATCCATCTCAAGAAAATAGTGTTGAGGTATCGAGGCATCAAATCACAAATCAACTTTGCCTCATTCTTTCTACTGAATGCGAGAGAGTTAGAGTTAATGAGGCTTGAAGTTGGAAACACAAATTACAATGAGGCTTTCTTTGCAGAACAATATGGGATGCTTCAGATGGAGAAAAGGGCCTCGAGAGGTGCACGGTTACATTTTACAAACAAAGCATGTTCCCATCGTATACATGTTAATCATGTCCGTGATTTGTCGGTAGCAGACCCCTTCGAATGTATGGAGTAGATGGTGGAATTGGTCTAGGTATTTTGCCTTGGTCTTGCCAATCTCATTTGGTATTTGTCGGAACAACTATTTCTCATGATTGTAGTGTTTTGAATATCTATTACCTGGAACATGGGATATCTAAACAAAATATGCCCATCCTTAGTTTATGGTATATGCGATAAACTGACTATAGTAGAAATACTAAATATGAGCCGTGTGCTATTGTGCAAGATTGCTGCAGTAGACATTTTTTTATTTCGAGTTCTGAATATCAGCAACCTCCTCAGTAGATTTATGAAATCTTCATTTAGTACTACGTATTAGTCCTGTTACTTCCAACTCAAGGAAGCAGTGCTGTACGTAGTTAATCATCTCATGTGTCTTAGTTACAAAACTCAAGGAAGCAGTGCTGCGTTCGGCTGATATAGTCTTGGCTTATTTCAGCTTATTCTCTCTCACAGAATACTATTCAATCATCCAAAACCAGTCAAAATCAGCCAAAACCAGCCAAAATCCCCAATTAGATGTTTCTTCTTATGGTTTCAGGGAAAAACCCCAGACCCTTAGCATTGCTATCAAGAGCAAAAAATTCAGGTTCAAACATTTTACAACATCGGACACCTGGTATCTGAGACAGCACAAGCATGGCTCAAACTACCACCTCCAATGTCCACAGTCCACTCAGGTCTCAGGAACTATATTAATTTTATTGAACTCCACAAAAATGTGGTCCAGGAATGAACTCTACCATCACGGTTTACCAAAAAGCGGACCTGCTGCTCAGCTGTAAACTCCAGACCTTTAGTTCAAGGTCTTCTAGGGCATCAAGCATGTCTTCCATCAGTCACCAGTCATTGAGGTCCTCTGGGCTTGACTCCTGAGGCTACCTTACGACCTTATCATTGTGACGTGGCAATATTTTTAAAAAGAGAAAAAAATACAAATGTCATGCTGACGGAACTCTTTTAGTTCGGTTTCAACCTTTGATGAACCATAAGATTAAATGTTTAAATGTTTATGAACCGATAGAATAGAACTTTTATCCATATTTCATTACATTTACATTCTAAGTTCTTGAAAATAACTTTATAAAACTCTCCACTAAAGAATGATCATATAAACACAACTGCCTGACTCCTAAGCTTCATATACACATTAAACCAAAAGGCCATTAAATCCACGACCCAAAATAATTCCTGGTGGAATATATTTAGAGATAATTTCTTATTTGACACCAGACAAATGACCCGTTTCTTTTTTGGCCCTCAAAAGATTTCCGTTCCCTATTTGACACCGAGTTTAACTTTCATTCTTTATATGACACTCCGTTGGATTTTCCATCCGTAAACCATTAAATGCCCTGTGAAAAGACGATTTTGCTCCTTTGGGCCCCACCACCTTCTCCCTCCTCTCCTCCCCTTCTCCCTCCTATCCGCGCCCGTATAAGCAGCACGTCGGCGGTGGAGAAGGTAGGCGCGTCGTGGCCCCCGCCGGCCGTCCCCGTCGCTGCGGCCGGAGCCCCCTCCCTCCTCCGACGAGCCGCGCCACCCTCCTCGAGGAGGAGAAGAGGGTGAGCTGCCGGTAGATCCGGCCGTCGAGGTGCACCGCCGCCGTCGACGACGGAGAAGAAGAGGCGCCGCGCCGCCAATAGGGCCAGCCACGGACCGGAGCCGCAGGTGGGGAAGAGGAAGAGGCGACCACGCATGGCAAAGGGGCTACGGCGGCGAGCAGCGCACATAGCGCACTGAGAGAGGAGTAGGGGCCCCAGTAGCGGAGGCGTAGCGAGCGGGGTACGGGCTCCTCCCGGTGACCATACCTGCGGCGGCGTAGGTGACCGTGCTGGGGGCTGCCGCTCCGAGGGGCCGCCCACAGCGGTGCGCCGCATGCGCAGGGGCTCGACGCGCCCGGGCCACTCGTGCTAGGGTTGCTGCTCTGAGGGCCGGGCGCGTTGAGGGCTTCCCTTGCCGCGCCGGTGCGCCACCTGAGCAGGGCCGTGCCTGCGCCGGCACGCCTCCCGCGTGGGTGGCCACATCGGGAGGGAGGGGAGAGAGAAATGCGCGCACAGTGGGGGAGGGGAGGCGGGATAGCGGCCGAGGGCCCGTGGTTGCCGGCACCGGCGGGGCGCCGGCCGCGCGGGGAGGGCAGCGGTCGCGGGGGCCCGGCCGCTGCACCGCCAGATCGGGAGGAAGAAGAGAGAGAGGGAGGAAGAGGAAGGTGGGGGCCGCGACGCGCCTGCCTTCTCCACCGCCCGCGTGCTGCTTATACGGGCGCGGACAGGAGGGAGATGGGGAGGAGAGGAGGGAGAAGGGTGGTGGGGCCCACTGGGGCAAAATCGTCTTTTCACAGGGCATTTACGGTTTACCGATGGAAAATCCAACGGAGTGTCGTATAAGGAACGAAAGTTAAACTCGGTGTTAAATAGGGAACGGAAATTTGTTGAGGGCCAAGAAAGGAATGAGTCATTTGTCTGGTGTCAAAATTATCTCATATATTTACGACACTTTTGAGGGTCGTCTACATCCGTACAGGTTGGTAGAAACATATAGGGTTACACGACCAGAACATATGCGAGATAACCGTACACCTACACAAAGCCCACGAATGACGAACCGCATCAGACCATTGAATACAAACTCTCGCCGCCCAAGCTGAAAACAAGTCGCTTGTCATCCTCCAGGTCTGAGTTTCTGGGTGGCTTGTTCTAGTTCTGTTTCTTATCTTTTGGTGGAGCTCTCGGAATCTTGCTCAGAACTTTGGCGTCCAGGACCTTGTACTGCTTGCAGAGCTCCCTGTGTGCCTTTGCAGCGAAATCGTCCACCTGGTCCTGATACTTGTGGTACAATATCGGCACCGTATGGAGGATCAAGACCGCTGTTTGGAGCATTGATGTCTAGCTAACTAGAGTGGGAGTTCAAACAAGCGCTAAAACAAGCCTGTTCGTTTGGCTATGGCTTGTTGTATACGATCGTAAATTTTCAGTCGGAATAGTATTTTTCTCTCATACAAACCAGCCAGCAGTACTACTTCACGAACCAGCAACGATACGAACCAGCCAACCGAACAGGCTACTTTTTGGAGCGTAAAAACCCATACCAATGTACATGAATCTCAGGAGATCACAGAGCTATCCGATCTCTGAAAGAATCCAAAGGGCAACGATCACCTGAAACATTGGAACAATGATTTGGTCAGTGTAACCTTGCAAACTGTCGCTGAAAAGGAAAAAACACAAATGGTTCTCTGAGATTTATACGCCTAGGAACTTCATCAGGTTATGGCCGAGAGCAATCTCCCGAAGCAAGGCAAGTGCCTTGTTAATGTCAGCACGCAATGCTAGCGCAATGTTCACAGCAAGATCTTCAGATATCTGCACTTCAGGAACATCAGGACTCCTGAAAGTGAAATACTTGATATTTAAGAAATTTGGTCAGCGTGAAGTGCATATAAATCTATGTATCTCTTCCTTACTTTTTGATAAAGACAGTGGCATTGGACCATAGGAACAAGATGGTCAGTGCAACAATCAGCACATGAGAAACCAGGGTCAGGAGATGGTATTCCACAATTTCGAACAGAACCCATAGGATAGTCGCACCACCAACTACGGCAGCAGAGGTCTTCTTGTCTTTCCACAACAGTACATCAGCAGCTTCATAGAGGAATACAGATGAGAAGATGAAATGGCATCAGGATAGATTATGCAACCATAAATATGAGTAACATTTTCATTAACATAATTCTGTTGTGGTTATTTTCCTAATGAAAATCATTTATAACATGGCATATCAGATTTTTATTTCTCCTTTTCTCCCCCTTTTTTTTGTCACCACAGGACATGGTATCGCTGAGGCTGTAAAAATAGTCTCTGACTCTGTCCCTTCCCTCCACATCTCTATCATATCTTCCATTTCTAATGCAAACTAACAGGAAAATAAAAATTAACCCCTTGAACTGTTCTATCTTCATCCAAAACTTTTGTACTGCTGTTCAATACCTTAACCATGGTCGAGGGCATGGGCTGCAGCTTTCAATTCATCTAATCATTTAATTGAAGTAACACTGAAATTACAAAAAAGAAAAGTCTACCAGGGACCTTACAGCATCTCCAAGAGAACACTTAAATTGATCTCATTTTCGTATACAGGGTGCACCCTTAACTGAAACCCCTCCTAAAACTTGTTCTCCCACAGCAGTTCCCCTCATTATCACCATCCTATTTTTCAAACACGTCACATCAGCTATATTGGGCCCATGATTTCTTCATTGAACAGAACTATTTCTTTTTTTCTAGATTGTAGCACCGCCATCAGCGTCTCTTATCCGCCGCCAGCAGCGTCTAGCGGTCTAGGTGGACTCAATTCGCGTCTATTTCGTTTCCAGCAAGCAGTGTCCACGTTTCTCTCTTTTCAGATATGTTTCTGGTACCGTTCTCTGTCTTTACAAATAATGAGCCTGTTCGTTTGGAGGAATTCTAGAGGAATTTGGATGGTTTGGAGGAATGCTGAAGGAATTTGTCAGGAAAAAAACACGGTTACCGATGAAAAAACAAACGGATCAAGCCGGGTTTAAGGGCACGCGAATGAGGCTAATAATTCCAAGGTTTAGGTCTTCAGGACACATGGAGATGCATCACCTTAGCGGTTGTTCGGCCAACACATGTGTTTATGACGGGTATACTGGAATCAGCAGCCGGCACTGCAGGAAGTTGATGCCAACAGGGGAACCTGTTTGCCGTCGCAGGGATTCAGGGGAAGATACTGATCATGTAAGATACTTATAGAATTTAGTTTAAAATTATTTGACTACAAATCTTCCCCTACCTAAACAGGCCCAGATAAATAACATTAATTTAGAAAATGGATAGCTTTTGTGATATGTGTTGATGAATTTTTGTCAGATCCTAGCTGCGGATGAGGAAAATGTCTTTGTAATCCAAAATTTCTTTGTGTTAATAGCATGACATTCTAATCGTTCAGGGCATTCCTGAAAAGCTAGGAAACCTTGAAAACTTTATAGCATTCCCATTCCCATGTTTATGAACAGAATCCACAACCTTTCTTTTAAACAAGCAAAGCCCGTTCGTTGGTCTCAATCTTGACTGAAAATGGCTGAAAAATACTGTTCTGGCTGAATTGGTGTGAGAGAAAAACACTGTTCCAGCTAAAAAAACAAGCCGAATAAATCAAATATGGGGTAAGCCGAACGAGCCTCAGAAGCCCCAAATCGCCAATGATACTTTTCGTGATTACTGCACTCAGTCGCCGAAAGCTGCCTACGTATTTACTGCTGTGTAGGGGTGTAGCAAAATTTCCTACCGAGTACTACCGACATAGTATTAAACTCGTATATCAACCTGCGCCTTTCAACAAGAAAGGAGGCATGAAAGTCTGGAAGACAGAGATTAGTGTACTGGTCGGCGCTCACAGGCTAACTACTCAAGTAAACTGACAAAAATAAAACTACTGTGTTAAGAACTATCCGTAGTTCTGTACCCATATCAAGAAACCCTCGCGAACTGTGAATAGGCCTAGAGAAAGAATGAAAGAATTCCGCTCCTAGCAAGACAGCGATGACTGGAGCTATTAAATAACAAGTCCACGAGTATTAAATATAGACTTAAAAAATAGCTAATTATATAGTTTGCGATTAAGGTCCTGTTTATTTTGCTAAAAAACCATGACTGAAAGTACTGTTCATCGATTTATGGTGAGAGAGAAAACACTGTTCACTCGCTGATATAGTACGCCTCATAAGACAAGCAAACATGACCTAATTTGTGAGACGAATCTTTTAAACCTAATTAGTCTATGATTTGATAATGTGTGCTACAGTACACACATGTGCCAATAACGGATTAATTAGGCTTAATAAATTTATCTCGTAGATTACTGACGGATTCTGTAATTTGTTTTTTTATTAGGACCTATTTGGCACGGCTCCTCCTGAGGGACTCCTCCGGAGGAGCCGGAGCCGTTTTGGAGGAGCCACTCCAAAACAGCTCTGGCTCCTCTGTTTTTTACTAAAAAACGGCTCTTCCAAAAAAACGTTTGGCAGGGCTCCTCTAGAGGAGCCAGAGCCGGAGCTGGAGAGGAGCCCTGCCAAACAGGTCCTTAGTATCATAACACCCCATATGACACTCCATGTAACACCCGATATGACGCTCTAAAACTTTACGCCTTAAATTTAAACAAAGCCTTCATTCATCTTCAAGAATCAGATTGAAACCTTTTTCACGTGTATATCCTCTGGCTGTCCTGGTAAACGTATCCATGGTATGTTTCGTTGTATATACTTTTTTTTTAAATTATAAATTGCTTTGATTTTTTTTATTATATTTATTTTGCTATATATTTAGATAATAATATATCTACATACATAATAAAATAGATGAACTAAAAAAATCAAATCGACTTATCATTTGGGAGTATAAAATAGTAATTTGTGAGATGAGTCAAATACGCCGCAGCCTTAAATAGTAACTTGTAAGATGAACGAAAAAAATAGTGCATTTGATCGGTTCGCGGATTCCATCGGAATCTTCCCAAAAGTTATACGTACAATTTTTTTAAAAATAAAATTGAATATTACTAGCATGCTTAGTATTTAAGCACACCATTTCTCTTGTCCATGGACCCGTGCTACCACACCGGCCAAACACCCATCCTCCCCGCCAGGCCGCCACTAGCTTACGGTTATCCTACCTTCCGGTCTTCTTCCCTCCCTCCAGTCCATCCCCAACCCAAATCAGCGGCTGGCACGGACGCCACGCCGGCGAGCCGCGCGGCCGCAGGACCACTGCCTCCTGCATATCGCCGGTTTCCGCGGCCATGTCATCCGTACACTTCTTCCCTGCTTCCTCCCAGACCCCGGTCCCCGCCCGCCAACTCAAAACCTCCCCAAAGCCACCCCTCCCGTGCACCCGCACCCTGCCCACCACCACTTTCCAGAGCGTCGGCGGCAATTGCAATGCGTGGCGCTGCCCGTACCTACGGCTGCGGCGGAGGGTCCGCACCCCCGCAGCGCCGGCCGACGCGCCGTCTGTGGGCCCCGACGGCGGGAGCGGGGGCGGCGGCGCCGGGGGAGGGAGCGGAGGGGAGGACGAGGAGGAGGAGGAGGGGGAGAAGAAGGAGAAGGGGTTGCTGCCCGAGTGGATGAACGTGACCACGGAGGACGCCAAGACGGTGCTGGCCGCGGTGGCTATCTCGCTCGCTTTCCGAACCTTCGTCGCCGAGCCGCGCTTCATCCCCTCGCTCTCCATGTTCCCCACCTTCGACGTCGGCGACCGCATCGTCGCTGAGAAGGTGTGTTTCCTCTACATTCCCTTCGTTTTCGGTTTTATTCATGTTTTGGTCATGTGCTGAGCTCAGATGGCAACTTGGAACTCCAGTTGCTTAAATGCCTAAGTATTTCGAATGAATTTTCTTCCTTTTTAACACAAGTATGTATGCTGTTATACATCATTTATATAAATTCAATGAAAAGGCAATCAATAATATGTTGGTGCTATTTAATATTTTTTCTTTCTGAATATGGGGTTGTTTTAATCTGGGTTAGTCCTGTTTGCCTCAATTACCGTAGTCATGGGCTTATTTTTGTTGGGAGTTGATATCCTATAAGGCAACACCTAAGTTTCCAATTTCACTTTTCTATAGCATTTATGGGTTCAATGTATTTACTTAAGGTTTCATAAACTTTGTTGTCCACATTTTGTACGAGCTGTTGGTGCAGAACAACACCTTTATTGTTAAATACAATATCTAATTTGGTTCTTAGTGAAACTACACATATTGAGTACTTTACATAAGAGCAATCTTTAGTCAATATACTCTAAACCTCCTGTTAGCAGTTTTGTAGTTCAGGAGCCATTTAATTTGGGATGCAACTCAACAATTCAGTTCAAAGACTGTCGGTATATTATATCTTTTAAACTGATTATATGTTTTGTACATGATTCTTACGCCAAAGTACATGATGGTTATCAGGATTCAGGAACTGTATTTTGTGGTCAAATGCACCTCGAAGCTAATATTGCTTGGCTTTATCTAACTTTATCTTTTTATTAGTTGGTTTGTAGACTAGTTCACTTTAGTCTTTCATATTTTCTAAGTTGGATAATTTGCTTAGTCCATTTGAGTTTGCATGATGACACTATGGCCCACTATTATTCTGGATTTGTTTGTCTTTGCTGAAAGATGAAATCTGATGTTTGCTAAGTAAGAAAAGATATCATTTCATTGCATAATTGACCATGTTAATATCTCTCAGGTTACTTACTACTTTAGGAAGCCCTGTGTCAATGATATAGTAATTTTCAAAAGCCCGCCAGTTCTGCAGGTACTTGCAGGTACACATCTGTGCATTGTTTCTTGATGATATATGTTGTTTGTTGATTTGGAATCTTTGCATATTCCTTTTCAGGAGGTTGGGTATACTGATAATGATGTTTTTATCAAAAGAGTGGTTGCCAGGGAGGGCGACGTTGTTGAGGTTTGTTTCAAAATCAGAAACTATTCATTTATGTGTGGTGTTATATCCCTTGAGTGTAAAGACTCTAACCATTTTCTCTGTGTCCCTGAATTCCTCTTTTGTACGCTATTCTCTTTAAGACAAACAATTAATTGTTTACAGCTGATAGGTTAGGATGTGGCAACTGGCAACGCAATGAACTCTTATTGTTATTTGTTTTTCTGGTTTGTCTATTGCTTTTATTGCTTTGTTAGTTGTATTTGTGACCCTAAGACCTAAACCAAACAAGATACCTTCTCAAATGTCATGTTGGAAGGAACTGAGGACCTGTTTTAATAGATGAGATTTGAATCCAAATCTTGAACTAAATCATCCTGGAGCAATCTCTTCCAAGCCCCTCCTGATATTGTAAGTCTACATACGGATGGGAAAAAAGGATTTCCAAAATATGCATATTAAACAGCTTTGTAATTTTTTACCCTTCTATTGCTCCCTCTGCTTGCTACGTCCAACCTGCTGCTGCTTTACCACTTCTGCACGTGTGTCATGATGGAAGTCCTGTATTGCACCAAGTTTAACAGGATGGCTTCATCCCAAATCCATGGTCACTTGGCTAGCCACCACTTTGTGGATGTTGAGTTCAGCTGCAGACAGACCTTTGTCTGTTTCATATCCATGCGTACCAGGCACAGTAACAGTGACTGTTGGTGTGGATGCCAAATCTGAGGTCTTATTCTCCCAAGTTAGTGTCAATGGTAAATGGTTAATGTCTGCGGGTTTCCATATATGTTTGCCACAGCTGGTTTTTTTCTGTTTCATGCTAGAATTGTCAAGGACTCATGAAGTGCTTTAGCCTTAAGTACTTAAATTGAAGAGATAGGAAGAAAAAATACAATAAGTTCATTCCAATTGCATAACTCGTGGTTAATCCTACTCTTGTGTGTTGCTGCACAGTTTTCTTATGTTTTGTTGCCTGGTGCGTTGCAGGTTCACGAAGGAAAACTTGTTGTGAATGGTGAGGCTAGAAATGAAGAATTCATTCTTGAGCCACCTTCTTATGACATGAATCCTGTGGTATGATTTTTCTGAGCTGCTCATGGGTAACATGTGAAATCCCTGTATACATGAATTTTGTATGATTTTCTGTGATATTTATGTATGTAATATGAATGACGCTCTACCCCACAACACTTTCTATGACAAACAAATGGAAGATACACTAATTATGTTTAGTTAGACTACAGACTCGCTGCATTGTTGTTTGGTAGATGAATTTATTGGTTATGTAACCTGATCTTTAAATTTTAATCTACTTCATGAAAAAAATGCATTTTGAGTGGCTCAGTGCCATGTTATGCCAAATTATGGATAAGACTAAGCTGATATATTCTGAATCATATTAATCAATGAAATTAGAGTTGTATCTTTCTTCAGAACACCCACCCAATTGAATGCAAATGCCTAGCAACATGCACAGATAAAATGTTGTATAAATATGGTTTCTTTTGCTTTATGCATAAATGATGTCTTTATGGTAGAATGTATTTTTTTCCAATCCTTGTAAAAAAAAAACATGTTGATTTTTCATGTTTTGCCTTTTGTTTTTAACCATGTTGATGCAGCAAGTACCTGAAAACTCTGTTTTTGTGATGGGAGATAACCGAAACAACAGCTATGATTCACATGTGTGGTAATGCGTCAGTTCCATTCAAATTTCTGTGTATTTTTCTCATGCTGCCACTTATGTCATTACAGAGTTTGAATTTAATTGACCGGCACCATTGCACAACCTTTGCAGGGGCCCTCTTCCAGCAAAGAACATATTGGGGAGATCAATTTTTCGGTATTGGCCTCCTGGCCGAATAGGGGTACCACCAAGTGTTGCTTCAACCCTGAATTAAACCCTGAAACAAAACCAGGATCGCTTATTGATGTCAAATTGACAAAGTAGGAAGTTGATAAGTTAGTTTTGATGGTGCCTGATGTGTAGTGGAAGCTTCCCACTTTAGATTATTCCTCTTGGTAGAATGTCACAGAGGAATCCTTTGTGGCATGTCGCTCTGTTAGAGTAAGACATTTCATTCTCATTGGATTGGAATGAATGGCCAAAAGGCACAGAAACCATTTTGTCTCAGGGTTTCTTGGCCTTTTTGCCTTGTTGTATACTAGGGAAACTTGATGTCATCTTCTGTCAGTTGGAAGATGCCTGACCTAATCAAGCTGGGAAAAAAAATATGGTCCCACTGTTGAAATCTAGAGTTTGGAGCATGATGAAATCTGTGCACAACATGACACAAGTAAAATGTACATCCTGTAAATGGAGAACATGTTCATTCAGTGTGCTATGCTGTGTGGTTGAACAGCATAGAGAAACTACCCGGATTACTTATGCTACCGTAGAGAAAAGATAAATCATGTTAAATTGCAAGTGCAGACGTGCAGTTGAGCCTTTTAATCATTTGTTGTTGTTGTTGTTGTTGTTGTTGTTGTTGTATATTTGTAAATGTTGGAATAGATATGTGAGTTTTCTGTAGGTTTGCCTCAAACAGAAATTTATGTAAGTATAGTCCCATCAATTTATGTTGGAAAAGAACATAAGGTATCATAAATTACTACATCGGTTTAAAATATGGGTTACTGTGCTGTCTTAGTTTTATCCAAAGTCAAACTTGTTTAATTTTATCTAATCTATTAAACAGAATGTATGAAGTATGATACCAAATGAATATACTATCAAGATATAATTGATGGTAGATTTAATAAGACTAATTTGATATATTTGATGGTAGACTTAATAATAAAACTAATCTGACGCTGTGCGGTCTAAATACTGTCACTGTTTGTCTAACTTCCTCAGTCTAATAGCAGTGCTGGTATTGCTCATCTCACTGCTCCCCAGCCGTGAACTCGACCGTCTTCCTGTACCGCGAATCTCCCCAGCCGTGCATCCCAAGGGGCGGAGGTAGCTTAACAAACTGTTGCACCTGCGGATCTGCCACTGGATTGGTTGCCACGGCAACAGCCCCAAAATCCTACCGGCCAGATCCCCTCCGTCGACGACCCGATCGATTATGGCAGGCATGGCTGCACTGACGAGCTAGCGCACATGCGAACATGGACACACACCAACATGACACGATAAGGCACCGTCCTTTTTGCGCATTAGCACGCACGCCTCACCTCCACCCCCCTGGCTTTGCGCAGGATCAACCTGCTCACACTCCTCTTCATCTTGATCCCTGCGCGAGCGACCGCATGTGCCACGAGGGGAGATGACGGCCCTTTTTGCTGAGTTGCTGCGCCCAGTCGCCACACGCCAACCTTTTCCATCTCCGATCCCATTCCCAGGTCGTACTGCACCTACGCATATATCCAGCAAACCGTTAGAGAGAAACTGTGTGATCGATCCATGACTAAGCCTAGAGACACGCACGCACGTATGGCTGGAGCTGCTTACGCCCGCGCCGCGCTCGCGCTCGCGCTCGCACTGGCCGTGGCCACCGCCGCCGCCACGGTCAAGGCGCAGCAGACCGAGTGGCTCAGGGGGCATGCCACGTTCTACGGCGGCGCGGACGCCTCCGGCACCATGGGTAAGCTAAGCAGCCTCTGCATGCGAGCTGATATGATATAGCACTGGAGTTTAGTCTGTCGTATGCATGCATGAGCAGGGGGCGCGTGCGGGTACGGCAACCTGTTCGCGCAGGGGTACGGGACGCGCACGACGGCGCTGAGCACGGCGCTCTTCTCCGGCGGGGCCTCGTGCGGGCAGTGCTACAAGCTGGTGTGCGACCGCAAGACGGACGCGACGTGGTGCAAGCCCGGCGTGTCCGTCACCGTGACCGCCACCAACTTCTGCCCGCCCAACTCGGCGCTGCCCGACGGCGGGTGGTGCAACGCGGTGCGCGCCCACTTCGACATGGCGCAGCCGGCGTGGGAGAAGATCGGCGTCTTCAGCGGCGGCATCATCCCCGTCATCTACAGGAGGGTCTCCTGCGTCAAGAAGGGCGGGGTGCGGTTCACCGTCAACGGCCACGACTACTTCAACCTGGTGCTGCTCACCAACGTCGCCGGGCCGGGATCCATCAGGGCCATGGACGTCAAGGGCTCGCAGCCGCCGGTGGAGGACTGGATGCACATGGCGCGCAACTGGGGCGCCAACTGGCACTCCCTCACCTACCTCACCGGCCAGGGGCTGTCCTTCAGAGTCACCGTCACCGATGGCCAGACCATCGTCTTCGCCGACGTCGTGCCGCCCAAGTGGAGGTTCGGCCAGTCCTTCGCCAGCAACCTGCAGTTCAAGCTGTGATCTGAGCAGAGCTAATCTAATTAACACGTACGTGCGTGATCAATCATCGATGATTATTTAATTTGGACCTCCAGTCCAATATACAGTATTAATTTGGTTGTGACTTGCATTGTGGAGAGGGTTCATTTACCATTTCTGTATGTAGGAACTTTTACCTGCTTCCAACTTAAAAAAAAACAAGACTTGTTAATTAATTGCGACCTTGCGCCTGTATGCATAAGTGTTATGTACATAAAAAGATTTACTGATTTCATAACTATGTGCAAATTAGCAACTCCTATTTTTTTTATTTGATTACTTCACTCAATGCTCATTGCTTTTTGATGGTAAAAAAGCTCTTACTGTGAGCGAAACGAATTATTGTTGATGATAGCTCGATTTGGTTGGCATGACGGGTTAATTAACCATTTCTATAGGAACTTGCCAGCATTAAATTAAAAACAAAACTTGTTTTTTTTTTCGTTTGTATGTGTCATGTACATAAGAGAATTATTACTGATTTCATAAAACTATGCTCAAGTTATTCCAATGTTTCTTTGATTACCTGACTCAGCAATTACTGCTTTATTATGCTGATAATAAAGACAATCTTATTTATTTGTCACACGGAAGAGCAAAATATCCCAAGATGGAATTCAGCACTCACGTCGAAAAAATAACGACTTCTGAAAAGTTGGAGCTGAACGTTAAACACGTATACAAGCTCAAGCTCACTAGCTCATCAACTCGCCAGCGTGATCTCAAGTACAGTGTTGACTTTGACTCTGCTATATATGTACCTACACTGCGAAGCAATACGTGGTGTGGTGTTGAGGGCTTCTCAAGGCTCTGACAGCTTTACGTACGCACGTCGGAAGCAATGTGCCACACTGTACTACCGTGTCCGTGTAGCACTTCCTTCCCCCCCCCCCCCCCCCGCCCCCCGCATTACCGGTCTCACTAATCCGTGAACGATCGCGCGGCCTGTTTGTTTGGCCGTGGCTAAATTTTCATTCGGAACAATATATTTCTCTCACACAAACCAGCCAACGATACTTCTTCACGAACCAGCAACGATATAAACCAGCCAAGTATTTCGCGCTTTCCATCTTTTGCCTCCTCCGCTGATGGGCTAAAGGCCACTAGAAATTCGGGACCCAGTTAGTGTCGCACAGGTTGCACCGTCTATAGGAACATGACCCTGTTCTGTCACAAGCGGCCCATACGAACGGCCGCCATGGTTAAGAAAGAGGATGTGAAATCAAGGAAAGAGAGAACACATTGTAAATTATGAAAATAAATAATGCTTGTGACGTGATTTACAGCGATTGGCACATCAAATAGGACCCTTGATGCTGCATCTAAATTGAATAGTGGCAAGTATGACAAATATACACAGAGCCAGTGAAGCAAAAAAAATAGTGGCTTTACCGGCTCCTAGTTCTAATAGACGGTGCTTGCGATGTTGCAGATTAGTCGAACCCTTTCACCATCCTGGTCCTGGATTTCTGAGTAGCATTGCTATGAAAGAAAGGGACAAATGAGGTTACAGGTTTAGTTGATTCCATCATCACCAAAAAAAAGTGCTAATAACTTCGATATTGGGATTGGGCAACTACCTGAATGATGTATATGATGGCAATGTTCGCTGATGTTGTGTGCTTACTGCTTAGTCAAGGTGGATATAAATCTCATCTGAAATGATAGTCCACAGGTATAGTAAGCACTCATCAACCCCATAAAATTTGAGGCCTCAACATTGATCAAACTAGAAAACACTAAGTGTATATTTCTAAAACATACCAATAAGAGTCGATCATGTGTATGCTGCACGACCATATCTAACAGAGGAGATTGTTCTCACGATTCATCCTATCGAATATGGTTGAAGCTGTTGAACATCCCAGTGTGGGAAGCCTTGACCAGCTTGGGTGCTTCAGGGGCTCCAAACACGTTCCAGAACCGAAAGGTCTCATCCGCAGCGGCTGATGCTACTGTGCAACCATCAGGGCTCTGCAGTTTCACCACACAAGATTCATCAGCAATGTTCACTCATTATATAACGATGAATGCACAAACTCTGTAAAGGTAGATGCAAAGTAACTCACCTGAGCCATGAAAAGGACACGATGGTTATCATTGATGGGTACTTCCACAATGTTAGTTGGTTCTGTGTGAATCCGTGTGAACTCAGCAGCTCTCTCTCATTCTTGTTCCAGAGAAGGGCACAGACCTGTGATCTGGTGTCAACAGAGTTCAGATATGCACCGGTGTGCGTGTTCCAGAACTTGATGCATCTATCACTGCCACCACCACCGGTTGCCAGCAAGTTGCTCTGGAACGGACACCACGCAAGTGCCTTCACAGCAGCCATGCGGTCCTCAAGCCTGTGCAGCCACTGGTTGCGACCAGCGGATGGCATGGAGGATGCCATCGACACATCCCAAATGTGCAGAAGGTTGTCATTACCCCCGCTGGCCAGCTGTTGCCCTGATCCAGACCACTTGAGCCCACACACCTCCTGACTGTGGCCCTCGTATGTCTGCACAACATGGTTCCTAATTCTCACGTCGTTGTTCACGATCTTGCCATCCATGCTGCCAGTGGTGAGGATGCTGTTGCTCCATGCCAGCGAGCCAACTCTTGCTTCATGCACACCTCTGAGAGTTCTCAACTGCAGGGAAAGAACGATCTGAATTCAACAACTGCATGATCAAGTATTACCACAGCATTTTTGGATGAAGCAGGCACATACCAGTCAGTTGGAGCTGGTGTCCCAGAGTTGGACATCAGAAGAGTTGAGCCCAACAGCGATATGCTGGCCGTCTAGAGCCCAGTTGACGCTGGTGATGGGACCGCTGTCCTCGTCGATGGTCACAAGCTCAGACGTGGATCCAGTGGAGGCATCCCACAGGTACACCGTGTCGCCCAGAGCAATGGACAGCACGTTGTTGCTCCCCCAGTCGAGCAGGTTGAGGTAGTAGTCATCAACGAGCTCTGGTGCGTCCAGAGTCCTCTCTGCAGACTGCATATATACATTTCAAGCAGCATCAGAAACCAAACCACCATCCAAGTGATGCATCGATCTAGAGATTAGAACACGAAGAACATCAGTAAGTGTGCATACCTGGGGAATGTGTCGCCGCTGCTTGGCCGGCTTGGCGTGGTGGGAAGAAGCCGCGACGGCTGCCGAGACGTTCTCAGGTTCAGGCGGCTTGTTCCTGAAGGCGAGGATCCGTGTCCGGTTGTTGAGCGGCTTCTCGGCGAGCAGCCTCCGGTACGTCTCCTTGGAAGGGGACGCCGCCACTGCGTTCTCCTTGTCCTTCCTGGGCTCCGTGAGCAGGTACTGCGCCACGTCCATATCCATCGCCGACCTGTCCGGGATGAACCTATCGCCCTGCAGCGCGCGGAAAAAAGCCGGCGGCTCGGTCAGGCGAACCATGGAACACCCTACGCGCACGCGCCCACGGAAACATTTCTGATGACTCTCAGGGAGGGAGCAGGTGACTCACATAGCACTTGGCCGACGGGTTGCGCGACCCCGTGCTCAGCGACGGCATGTAGGGCCGGGAGCCGGCCTCCTGGAGAGGCGGCCGTGGCGCCGCCGCCGCCGTGTGGCTCTTCTCCGATGAGATGGAGTAGGTGCCTGCGTCCATGGTTAGAAGCAACAGAACAACAAGAAGCCCGGAGCAACAAACAGCGATACTATACTAACCGCAATCGCAGAAGAAGCAATGGAACTAAACAGATTAATTAAACACAAATTAAAATGGTAAAATGAAGATGCAGCTAAAACAATCGGATTAATTGAAAGCTGAAAAAAAAAAGAGGCGGAGAACTTGAGAGCTGTGATGAGCGAAGCGAAGCAGGGCGCACGTCTCGTGGTCTCCCCAGGTGCTCGAGACCGGCGTGGGGAGGCGGAGAGGAGAGCCGAGAGGCAGAGAGAGGATCTGCGCGCTTGCACTATGGGGCTTAGGGTTCGGCCGCCCACGATTATTTGTAGCAGGAAGCGGCCTGCGGGTTTAGGGCTTGTGCTGCGTGGCCGCGTGAACGGCTCTGATGCGCCGACCACTGGAGATCTTGTGCGGTGGCTATTGTCTACGAAAAGTAAAGCTATCAACAGTTAGATCTCTTTGCCAAAAAAAAAAAAAACAGTTAGATATCTTGTTCTTTTTTTTTCTTATTACTAAAAATTAGTACTGAGGATCGATAAAATAGAATTTCAGGCTATATTTATCCATCTATCTGTCTATCTACTCTACTAATGCACCATCATATTCATCGCTTGGTCTACCCCATACAAAC